CCCCAAAACCCCCAAAACCCCAAAACCCCAAAACCCCGAGAGGCTCACCTCAAATTGACCGAGTTTAAATATTATAGCTTTCAAATAAAATTATATAATTTTAAATCTAAATAAAATGAGTCGCAGAGGAAAGAAGCCTACCCTGGGTCTAGCTCAAATTCTTGAGTCTATTCCGAGAAGTTTTGACTTTGAGTATTGTGCTGTTGCATCTACACAAACAAGGTCGTTTGTGTTGAATAATCTGTCAGCAGGAATTATTAAATTCTCAATTAAAAAGACAGAGAATAGTCCTTTTGAAATAAATCATACCTCAGGAGTTCTCCAAGTCAAAGGGAAGCAAGAGATAGTGATCAGCTACACCCCTCAAGAGTGTGAAGTTATTATTGCTTCTATAATAATCAACCTCAATGGTGAGGAAGAGAAAATTGTCAAATTATCAGCAGTATCCAAGCATCCTCTTCTTAGCGTTACAGACACTTCTTTAGATTTTGAAGAATTATTGGTAGGAAAATCTGAAGAAAAAGAGATCCTTGTTCACAATATTGGGCAAGTGCCTACATATTTCAAAATTGAGAAAGCAAAGTCTGAAGATGAAGATACTTCCTTCTATGTCACTCCCAAGAAAGGATATATTCCTCCAGGAGAAAGCTATTCTTTGACATTCAAATACAAGCCTAGGCTTGTTAGTGTCTGTTCTAATGCTCACTTCACAGTTAGAAGCAAAGGGGGAAACAAAATAGATGTGAGTTGATTCGGTGTTGGAATCGGATACGATGTCCATCTCAGTGCTAAAAGTATGAACTTTGGAGAGACTTCATATGGAAATACTGTCACTAGACTAATCAATGTTGTAAATAATAGTGATCTTGCCACATCATTCCAGTTCTTAGTTGACCGGAAAAACATGTTTTCATTCTCATCCACTGAAGGAGTAGTTCAGGCTAGAAACTCGGTTAGAATTATTATCTCATTTAATCCCTTATCAACTGGTAATTACTATGAAAGAGTATTTTGTCTGATTAGGAATCATAAGCTGCTTTATCTCGACCTCATTGGAACTTGCTACGATGAAGTCACAAAGCCTCTTCCTCTAATGCAAAGGCATGTGGAGGTGTTCAGATACAAAGTAATCATGGGAATTCATTATAAGAAAAAGCTAGCAGAGGAAGCAGAAGGAGACGAAGATTCTCTCCAAGATCTAGAAATGAACACATTTGACGAAGAAGCCAAGCTGAATCTTGAAGTTCCTATAGATGATCCAAATCATGTGCTGCATAAAGAAATGTTCCTAGAAAATGACTCAACCTTCAGGGATGTGTCGATTCAACAACAGTTTATTGATTTCAACTTTTGTGAATATGGAAAGTCTAGTGAGGGGCAAAGCATGACGCTTGAGAACAAACTTCCATACAAAATTGAAGTAAGATTTGTGCTTCCCAGTGCAGAAAATTCTCAAGGAGAAGAAGTTAAAAATCCATTCTCAGTTTCTGAATTAACAGCTATCATTGATGCAAAATCTACAAAGAGTTTCGATCTGAAATTTAGACCTTTTGAGCCAGACTACTACTTCTTCCAAATATTACAATGATATGTATACCTGTATAATGGAAATGAAAATAAAGTCAGAAAAGACGATGGAGGTAACCCTCAAGGTACAAAAACAATGCTGAAAAGAAGTGCTTTAAGAACCACTAAAGTATCCAGGTTTGACGAATCTATGGCAGAAGAAATAGATCCTCCTCTTTGCTTGAATCTAAGAATAATTGGGCACTCTTTCAGTCCAGGCACTCAGCCATTTATTCCGATGGTGAAGTTCTTGCCAAACATGAATGTTGTCTTCCCTCCATGTAGTCCGGGAGAATCAGTATACCAAACAATTAAGATATACAACACAAGTGATACACCTGTATTCTACAAAATGCTTCCTGATCCGACAAAAGTCTTTAGAATTTACCCACTAATTGGGTTGATTCAAGGAAAAAGTTTTGCATTAGTATGATTTGAGTTCAGTCCAAAGTCAGCTAATCATTGGAGTTTCACCTCTCAATGCGTGCTAAATTATACCTACACAAATGTGCAAAATATTCATCTTAGCGGAAAATGCTTCAAGCCTGAGATCACTCTTGGGAATAAAGGAAAGTTATACTTCCCTCCAACTTACACTGGAGTATCAAAGAAGCAGTACCTTGTTATCAAGAATAACTCCAGGATTCCACTTGAGTACGACTGCTCTGTTCCAGCCAAATACCAAGAAGTGGTAATATTCGATCCTCCTAAGGCAATTTTGCAGGCACATGAGGAAAAATAATGTTGTTTGTACCTTCACGCCTACAGCTAAAAGGGAGTATAAACTCTCAGTTCCAGTGCAAGTCACTAACATCTACGACACTACTAAAGAAATGATTGGATATTTCAACCCTGGCAGCGGAGTTGCTATCAAAGCTCAACAGAAGAGAGAGCAGTCCAAGTACGAAGTGAGAGTCTATGGAGTAGGAAATGACGGAAGCTTATCGATCAAGCCCTCAAAACTTGAATTTGACACAGTCACAGTCGGATTTACTAAGATTCTTTCTCTAACTGTGATCAATAAGAGCAAGACTAACTTATATATTGATTTCCAGCTTGACCAAAATGATACCGAACAGAAGAGTGAGGAAGAACAACAAGAAATAAGAAAGATCGTCAGTGAAAACTTTAAATTTGATTTTAAAGAGGGCATTGTTCCTGCCTTGTCAAAGAAAATGGTCAAAATAACATTCAAGCCTTCCCTAAGATTCGATTTTAAAATAAAATTATCTTGTAATGCAAGAGAGAAACCAGTGAGCAATCTCAGATCTACTATCAAAGCGAATCAATTTTTATCTCAGAAATATTCTATCAATATCATGGCTAAGGGAGATTTCCCACTCTTGAGACTTGCTGATATCAGAAACGAGCAAATGAGTGTATCAAATCTTTGGGAAAAGTTCGAACTTACGTTCTTAAACAAAGAACTTCTAACCGTACTGAGCAAGAGTGAAATTGAATATTCAAGCTCTGAAAGAAAAACTAACCAAAGCGTTCAGGATCTACAGAAGAATATCAAAGTATTCAGCTGGGACTTTGGAAAAGTTCCAATCAAATATAGCCACAAGCCAAGGAAAGTCACTTTGACTGTCAGAAATGTTGGAGGTGTTCATGCTGAATGGGCATTCAAACTCCCAAATGATTCGGAAATTGAGCTTGAGCCATGGGCAGATCCTGGAGAGCCAACTCCTGAGCAAGCTTTTGAGAAACATATCCTGGATAATAACATCTTCATGATTGAACCAAAGACAGGTTCTTTAGCTCCAGGAGAACAGACTGATGTAAATGTATATTATGTATCGAAAGAAGTAGATTTTCATCACTTGAAGGTATTCCTACAAATAAGCAATGGAAAACCTCTAATTCTTCATCTGAAAGGTGAAACTCTGTCTAGGAGAGCCAATCTCAGACTCTGTAAGGATGAATATCATATTCCACCAGTCCCTATTGGTCTTGAATGGTCTGTCACCTATCCTATCGAGATCAAGAATCTTGGTATAACCAAGCTAAAATACAAGGTAGATCTCGAGAACTTGAGGAAACTAAACGATGAGAACCATAATTTCAACATTTTTGATATTGAGAATCCAGAAGGAGTTCTAATGCCAAATGAGGTACAATACCTCTACTCTGTGTTCAGACCTCTTGAGAGCAAGAATTATCACATTGAGCTTCCTCTCAAAGTATCTGATATTGAAGGAGTTGTCCAAGATATTTCATTGAAGATCAACGGAGTTGGATACCAAGGGGAAGAGAACAAACCAAAGGAGATCCAATTCTATGAAGACCTTCCAAAATGTAGAGCTCACTGCCAGCCAGATGATGAAATCTTAGCAGCATTTTCAATTGAAGAGATCGATTTTGGAGAAGTTGACCCAGAAGAACCTTCTAAAAGAATGGTAATTCTCTACAATATGTCTCATACTCAAAAACTTTCATTTGAATTTTTTAAGACAGGACTTCTATGTACAGACAATATTAACCTCATGCCTATATCCGGTGAATTAGAGCCAAATTCACACAAGAATATCAAAATGGTTTTGAAGGCTGCTCAGCTCCCAACAATCTTTGACGGAGAGATCATGTGCCAAATAGAATGGGAAGATAATGCTAATAGGGGTGTTGGAACAATTAATGAGACCCATACTGGCACTAAGAGTGTAGTCACTCATGCTAATGAGAATGAGTTTTTATTCATCCGCCTCAAGAAGAGATCTTGTCTTGATAAATATGTTAAAAACAACAACTATGAACTTGCCAAGGATCCAGTGAAACCATCACTGTTCTTGAATAACTTGTTCATTGATGCCATGGATGAAGTACTAGAAGATAAAGACACAGATACTCTCTTTGAGAAGCTTGAGGAGGAGCCAATTGGAGCTTATTCAATGCTCGATGAGCAAGAGCCTCCTACTTGAAAAGATGTCACAGAGCAATTAGATGAAGGAATTAAAGAATACAAGGCAGAAAATAATCTAAACGCTATTGGATGGATAGAACAATTCAGGCATCCAAGTTATGAAGAGGAAATCCAAGCCCAGACTGGATTAGATGAAGACGAGCTATTCTGTAAGAGAATCCTGCTAGACTCAAGGTAAGAAAACTTTCATTTTTCTCAAATAAACCTTCGACTCGTTATAGATACTCCGATCTCATAGAGTACATGCTTGAAGACACAATGTTCAATCTCATGGAGGAAGCTACTTATGAAGAGTTTGATCTTTCGCAGATTCAAAGAACCTACATAAAAAAGGAAGTTCTTGAAAATCAATAATTTGCTAAGAATTACAGCTGAAACCCTTCTAAAATTCTTATTTTCAACTGTGTTATATTGAGACGGGGTTTTGGGGTTTTGGGGTTTTGGGGTTTTGGGG